ATATTTTATTTTGCAGTTTTGCCTCTATGATAAACTTGAAAATGACTGAGAGCGATGATCTGTTAAGGCTGAGTGATTCTGATAAATGTTCTTGAAGGTTTGAGGCCAATCTTGGTTCAGAGTATATCGACATTCGGTCATTATGTGTTTAATTGCTAGATCGGTGCCACATATTGGATATATTGGTGGATCATTTTTACTCATTAGATGACTACGAGTGATAAATGTGTGCCCGATCCGTAGTCTAGTTAGGRTAACTACGAACTTTCTAGAAAGGTATGTGATATGTGACCATATGAACTCATCTTGTTTTATTTCGTGGAGTTTCATGCAAACGGAATTCCAGTTTGCCCGCACATATTTATACAATGCAATTTTATTATGGGTTTTAAATCTTGTTTAGTTATGAGTTGAACTGCTGTTGCTAAAGGGTTAGTAATTGCATCTTTTGCTGCTTTATCGCCCATCTCATTTTCAATGATATCCGAATGACCAGGTATCCAGTAAAGTTAGACCGTGTTTCATTTTCCTTTCCCACATTGAAGCAAATTTTGTATCTGTATGTTTATATCGTTATTACTCTTGCTTGACTTTTTGAGGCATCTATATAAATTGTTTCACCTGGTAAATTGTGTAATATTTCAAGATAGTMCTGCTTATGGGTTTTACTATTTATGGAGTCTTTTTTTAATTCTGATAAATTCGTGATGGTGAATATTGAATGAATCCAGAGAGGGGTTGTTGGGGAATGTGAACGAAGTGTATAGGATGTCTTGAGATTATGATACTTCAATAGTGTTGATATTTTTTGTAAATTGGGTTTGAAATTTAGATTTTACGACGATGCTAGTTTTGCCTCGTATTTGAGGGCTATTCGTAGTCTTCTTAATTCTAGTAGAGGAATTCTTGTGAGATTGAGTATGTTTGGGATAGGGCTTGATCGATATACTCCAATAGTTATTCGAAGACCTGCATTGTGTATTGTGTCTAATTTTCTCATAATTTTTTCAGAGTTTCTCTATATGTAGGAGTTAAAATCAAATTATTCATGATTAGCGATTTATATATTTGTAATAGAGCGTTTGTCTTGGATCCCAATGAAGTATGAGAAAGCACCTTTATTATGTTTACTCGATGGTCGATTAAAATGTTGAATTGCTATTGTGGTGTGTCCGTGCTAATCTGGAATCTAGTACGGTAAAATGGTTAAAATATTTAGCTTAAAATAATAATAAAATAGTAATAAAATTTAATATTAATAATCCTTTAAATATTTAAAAAATATATTAATTATTTTATTAAAGTGTCTTAATATTCATTGATATGTGTTCAAACTTTTAATGCTGGTATTAAATGTGATCATACGATTTTATGATTTACGCTTGTCACCATATTAGTTTAGTGTAGTATATTGTAGTATAATGTAGTGTAATGTAGTGTAATGTAGTGTAGTGTAGTGTAGTTTCATATATTATGATAATAATCATCTAGGTTATCGCAACAAATCCTATACTAAAAAATATGTACATTACAAAAAAATTTAAAAAAAACAATGTGAATAGTAAACAGCTGGTATTGCATACATAGATAATATTTATTATTTTCAACGAATCTCGGAGTTCGTTGTTAATTAATACCGTGAGTTTTCTTTTAAATCAATTTTGTTTGCTGGTTATTGGTTTACCTCATCCATCGTCTGTACATACAAGAACAACCAGTATAAATAACAGTATAATAATTATCAATATGTCTCACAAACCTACAATATATATACATATATATATATATCAATATAGCATAGTCTTGGTTGAATAATTTAGGATWTGGTTTGAAAGTTAGTTTTGTCGGAACATAACGTTTTTCGTACATTCACAGCGTGATTCGTCAAAACCGTGAAAACTGAACTTGATCTATTCTACTCTCAGACGTCGTGTCACCGTGAATATTACATACAGTATCAATCAAACGTGTCAAACTATTCAGGGTAAAAGTTAAGGTTAATTCTCCGGATGTATATATTTCTAATATAGACGTCTTGGTAGCCACGGAGTTAAGTACTTCCTTCCCATTTTCCTTGAACGATAAACTATAGATATATAATATAGTTGGTGGCCGGTTGCTATTTTCAATGTTTGCGAACCTATCTCAACAGGAAAACTTGCAATAGTATATTGAAAAAACACTGATGGTTTATCGTTCATCATTGTATTACTTTCAAGTTTAATACCAAGTCAGACGTATTTCATTTTTATTCTATCGTTTCTAGGTTACAGAGTCTCAAGGTCATTGAAATACTCGATATTATTAATATGGTACCAGTATTGCTCCGGACAGTAGRGAATTGTTTTTGTTTACAAAAATTTGTTTGAATAATATACCTAGTTGAAAATAAAATATTTTTATTTAAACAACTTCTATTATTAAAAAACATCGTATAACTCGATAAAAATACGTTAATCATCTTCATGTATTAAGTAAGCTAGAATGAGCTAATTTTAAACGTTATGGGAATGACCATGCTTAAAATTGTATCTTAAATTATAAATCTTTTAAAACAGGTGGCATTAGATATTATATTATACTCAAGGCACATAATATTAAAACATGAGATTTTGATGCATTCTGCCCGATTTAATTTATTTAAATGTATTAACACATTTTTGCGTTCCCGTTGGATGAAATGATATTCTAAAATATATCGCCGTAAACTTTGTTTTGGACAACTATAATTATAGATGTACGTAAAATATTAATTATTACGAGTCAAATTATTATTTTGCTCCGAGTGAGTGCCATATACACAAGCCACCCTCGTGTTATGGGTGGTAGGTTCATACCTGTGGTTCCACATAAAGACATTTTCAGTCCAAAAGTTTTGGCTTAATGCAATCTCATTCTGTTTTTAAGTTTAAAAAAATAGCATTCACATTATACTAATGTCTAATAATAATAAATAATAGTAATGCAATTTGTTGACGTAAGATATAGTTTTAATTTTATCTCAGATAGAAAGCCGCGGTAGGGAGTCTTTTGCATCTATATCGTGGTTAATTTACAATAGATTCAATATTGTTTATGTAATAAAAAAAAATTTGAATCTCAGGTTATCGTTTTACTATGAAAATATACCTTTTTAATTTTAAATACAAATTACATTAATGTGATTTCACGTGAGTATCCTTTTTAGTTTTTACATATTTTATTTTGAAGGCTGTTGTAATATTTAATAACTGTTGCAAGTTTTCATATCAATTATTATACTAATATCAGTGGTTAAACAATACTATGACCTGATGTTCAGAATTTTCGATAAACTTTGCACAGTGCACACTCAATACGAGTAATGATGCATTTTAAATATGGGTGATTTTTAAATGTTAACAATAGCCTAAAGACATTTGGTGAAAATGTTCTWGTTTTTTTCTGTATTATTTTGTATCAAATTTCTATTGTGACCCACTCTGTTCCCTTATTGTGTAGACAATAATATATATAATAAACAATATCATGTACCCTTACAAAGGAAAACAATATCGTTCATCGTCAAAGTTGGCCAATGCCTATATAATTGGCTACCTATGTTTTATAAAACCCACAATAAAGTACCACACCCACACTTAAAAACTTGTTTATTTTAATTTTTTTAATAACTTTATAAGGTATACCATACAATTTAATTAAAATCCAACCCCTATTCCACGTCTACTCGTGGTTCATGACGTTTGTAATTTATCCCTAAATTAAAGATTTTACATTTTACTCCAATTAGGTAGAACACCCGTTTATTTTTAGTGAGTATAAAATATAAAATGTTTTAAGCCTTCGCTTTCCCAGACATAAGAAAAATAAATGGCCCCATTTTGATTTCAAATCCTAAATTGAATTCTCCCACTTTCCTCTTACTGACCATAATGCTGTACTATATTGTCTGGTGAATGTGTCATACGAACATACACTTCATCACTTTGACAATTTATCAATTTAGCAATTTATTGTTTTTGTTTTTTTTCAAAGTCTGGTTTGTGTTCGGAATTATTTATGATTCTTAGTGAACGAGATAATTTTATACATAAACCGGTRTTTTCTATTATTTTTTATTATCCAATCTCTAAACTTTATACCAGGTCACCACAGATTACTTACGTATCTATGGGTAACATAATATTTTAATATTAAAAATAAGTATGTGCTTTAACACCATAGTTATTAACAATAAGTTCTTCAATTTTTCGTCCAAAAAATAATTTATTTATATTGATTTGCATGGTTTTCGAGAATAAAAGATTGAAAAACAGGCAATTAATGTTGTCATTTAATTCGTAATGTAGTTACTTATATCATAATCATATGAGTATAGAATATTTATATGTTTCATATGATAAATTATTTAAATATAAAAAAATTTTATGAAAATATTTTAAATATTAAATGGCTATTGGGTATTTAGAAAACAAATTTCAACGTTATGCAGTTCAGGTTTTCGTTTTTGTTATCTTTGGATTTTAACCACAATAAAAATGTTTTTCTCGTTCTAAATAACTCGTCAATAATAAAAACTTACCGTATAAGCTAAATTAATTTAATACAATACCTATTTCAAAAAGAAATTAAAAATCGAAAATTATTGAGATCTGTTTGTTTATTTAGATTTGGTTAGTAATTCGGTATGTTAGTAATTAGTATACTATAGACTATAATATATAGTATATACTGTATACAATGATTTTCAACTTATAAAATTGACGATATCTTAAATACTATATATTATAATAAAATCATTGACTTTCTATAATTTTAAAAAGTGATATTATATTTTGATGAACATCAAATACATATCATTAAATTGTGATTTTTCTCTAGGTGTTCGTTCGGGATCCAAGCGTAAAGTAATACTGAAGCGTGACCTCACAGATAAAGCTCATCGAAGTAAGTATAATAAATCATATTAATGCTTTTTAAGTACACAATTCGTTACCAAAAAATTAAAAATAATTCATGATTTTAACATAACAATGAAATTATTATTTATTAAAATCAAATATTAAAAATAAATGTTAGTTGCATCTTGTTGGTATTAATACCTCTTTATTTTATAAATGTTATAAACATTAAAAGTTTTATAAAAATACTTATTTTTAAAAATCTAAATAGGTACAATTCAAATAATTTAATCAACTGATGACTATTATTCAATGGTTCAGAGAAATGTTGATAACATATTAAACGTATAAGCCACTTATAAGAATTTATAAATATTAGATTAAAACAAACATTAAATATTATTTAAGGTTTACATAAATGTTATGCGCAGTATTTTAGAAGATAGAGAGACATAAAAAAATAAGATAAAATACCAACACGTGAAAGCTCTAAATCTCTAATATATGACATATATCTATCTAAGTTACATGTCACTTTCGGGTAGGGACATCCTATGATATAGATTTTAGTTTTTTTTTATTTTATTCATGTTTTAAAAGATTTATGACTAAATGCCATTTAAAATTAAACAAAAATTGATATTCAAAAAAATCTCTTAAGATACACTTGGCAAAATATTTTCCATATATCGAAATAAAATGCTGATTAGCCATACTGTGTTTTTTAATTAATTTATGTTGGTATATATTATTATTCGTTTTATGAGGAATTAATACTGTATGGTAATATACTAATATTAATAATATACCTAACATATTAAAATTTTGATGCTAGTAATAAATAGTATAATRCCAATAAATATATATGTTACAAACTTATGAATCGAATTTCAATAAATAAGAATTGCTTCAAATGTTCTATAAACAGTACTTCTGCAGAACTTTTGTAAATTTATTTTACCGAGGAATAAGTGAAATTATTATTTGATATGTTAGATATATTTGACTAACTACCCATAAATATAAGAACATAGTTTTCATATAAAAATATTCGTCGACAAACAATTTCTTTATGCTATTTTATTGTCAATAAAATTTTTGTTCATGAATTATGATTTAATTTATAAATAATGATAATTAGTATAAAAATAAATATAATTTAAGTGATCATCTAATTTATTCTCCTCGTAATTTTTTCATATATACATTTGATTTATAAATAATTTTGTTTCTTCAAAATCAACTAATTTATTTACTTTGAGTTAGGTAAAAACCTAAGATGAAAACAAATTGTTAAAATTTAGGTTCTATTGTATTATTAAATTTAGATTAATGCTTTTTCACACTATAAATTATTTTGAAATTTGAAATTTGAAATCACAATCTACATTTTTCAAATACGTTTGTTGTAGGTATTAAATTGTGTCATTTAAATTTTCGTTGTTGATTTTTTATTTTATCAAATATTTGAATTTCTAGTATTTATTTAAATAATTTATATAAACAGACATCAAAATGTCTTAATATTTATTTATTATTGTGAATCATTTAAACGAATTTTTAGATGTCCAGCAAACAAAAGTATTTGAAAAATGTAGATTGTGATTTCAAATTTCAATTATTTAAATAATTTATATAAACAGACATCAAAATGTCTTAATATTTATTTATTATTGTGAATCATTTAAACGAATTTTTAGATGTCCAGCAAACAAAAGTAAAAAAACTGTTAAATAGATTTCAATAGACTTAAAGTGTTCACATTATTACGTTTTAAACATTCATAAATGTAGGGCGATATTTTAGCAATAATTATAATATAATCAATAATAACTATAATTTCAGAAAGTTAATTTATTTKCGTTATTAATTTGAATAAAGTTATTATGGTAACGGAAAATGCTTTAATAAAACAATGTATGATTATAATATTTCACTTGTATTACACAAAGATTTTTTTTAAATATAAAAATGAATTTTTGCACTTTTTGTAATATAATTTTCAATATATCGTTTTTTAATAATTCACTTAACTGCAATACACATAGTTGTACAAAAATCTTTAATAGGTAATCTCATTGGATGTATAATATTGGGGAAAATATTTAATGATTTCCCAATTATCTTATACAGTGATTACCAGCAGTTTCCGAGTAAAATTATTAGTATTATTATCATTTTTTTTTTTTTTTGACATATATCAAAATCAAGATAATATAAGAAAAACTTTAAGAAATTATTCTCTTGGACAATTAAAGCAATCACCTTAACGTGAAATATACACTAATTACGCAGATTTCAAAATCATTGGGCGAATATCGAAAAAATAAGACAACGTTAAGCATTCTAGTGACAAAAAATACAAAATTGTCTCACTCAATACATCCCTCAATTTGTGAGATTAGACAGTGTGACGAGATTTCTGGTCGTTAAAACGATGCCCCGTTGGCCATTCACACTTAAAACTTTTTTCCTCTCTTTTTAAGCTGTCAAAGATAACTCGCAATGACAATGTTTCACGATCCTTTTTTTTTTCATCTCTTTAGCTCGAGGATTTGGGATGAGAGTCGTGGGAGGTAAGATCGGTCCGGACGGACAGATGTTCGCGTCGATTGTTTGGACTGTTCCTGGTGGCCCAGCAGAAAAATCTGGTCTACAACAAGGCGATAAGGTACAAAATGTTCATCGTACTCGCGTGTACTGTTGCTGCCAATCGCTATAACGAGTGTTTTATTATTATTCCTATTATTTTTTTTTTATCGTCCACAGGTCCTCGAGTGGGCTGGTATGCCGTTGGCCAATCGCAGTTTCGAGGAGGTGTGCAGTATCATCGACCGTTCAGGTGACGTGGTGGAACTGTTAGTTGAACAAGGATACGAATTGTGAGTTTTATTTTAATTCCATATACTCTTTCGTCGGCATCCACTAAAATCACATATACTTATCTATTGGCTATTACGGGCATAATATGCGCATTCATAATAACGATAAGATTTAGAAAATATAAATTATGTTCCAGTATAATAATGATGTGTTAGGGAGCATATTTTTTGGCCATCCATAACTTTTACGAATAATAAGATGATAGGTTATCTAACTACTGATTTCCAAATATAAAATATGATCGCAAAGTGGTGATTAATGATATTATTGATATCACATTCATACTTTATATTCTAGAAGAATTAGGTATATACCTAATACCTATATGTATAAACATAGTATATCAATTCTTATTTAGAATAATAGAGTAAAAAAACTTTTATTCAGAAATCATAGCATTTAATATAGTTGGTTAATCATGATTTATTTATGTTACCAAACGAAATTAAATTGATAATATTCATAAGTAATGAAAGTTGGTATTCACAAATATTAAGAATCATAAAGTGATTTGATTTAGCTTATATAAGAAAAAAAATCGTCATGATCACCAAAAAACATTACTCCTCTTAGAATCTAAAATAAGTTATAATGCCTATGGCTTAAACATTTCAAAATAATATTTTTAAACTCATTCTTTATAAAATTCTAAAACATGCACCGGAAACTATACTTCTACTGTGCATAATCAATTGTTTACCAAAAATTATAAGCATCTGGATCTTGTGTTTGCAGAAGGATTTGCGATCTACTCGACGAGCCCGGACCAATGACCTCCAGAAAGAACTCTGGCGAAGCTATGGGTTTGCAACTAGGTTAGATTTAATAATAATTTATACACCTATTTCCTATACATTATTACAAATCTACGTTAGTTTCTTTTGAAATCAATTTAATTTGATTGAGTTAATAACGAATGATACTTATACGGGTAGATATATCATATCGATACTCACGATAAATTATCTCTACTATTATGTTTTTCATGTATTATTTATTTCTTGCCGTAAAATATTTACCGTCGCAAAATGAAGATAATGAAAAAACTGACATTATAGAAGAGAGAAGACGCCTTAATGAAATTGTAGTATTATTAGTATTATTACTCGTGGAACTGACGATGCAAAAAGCGCAAAAACATTCCTGATCGCAGAATTTACGGACTTAGTTAACTTGTTACACCCACAGAAAAATTACGCTTTCTCCCGATACCAGCTACAATGTTCGTTGCWATTCATATTTTCTTTTTATTCATAAGATTTAACTTTGAAGTTTCCGATAAAATATTTATTTTTTTAAATAAAGTCGAAAAAATCAATTAAAAAATGGCTACGCAGAATATAACATTATAAGTTTTTTCTCGTCGAAAATTATGTAATTTAATATATTATATACCCAAACATTAAATATATGCATAATGCATTTAACGAGAATAAATCATAAAACAATAAAATCATTATTCATCATGTTTACTATGATGTTTATTTTAAAATTAATTAATTAACAAAGAAGAAAGAATTATTAAATTGAAATTTCAGATGGTTCAGACTCTCCGGCGTCCCCGACGAGAAGAAAACTACCTAAGACTCCGGTATAGAATTTAAACATTAACGGTGTATGTACAGTATAGTAGTTTCGATCCTTCAGAAATGTTATCTAGTGAACTATTCTTGTTTTTGGACATGAAAACGATACTAATAATAAAAACAATAATCTTTATCACCATTCGAAATTGTAACATATCTATATAAAAGGTGTTTTTTTTTTTTACTATTTACTAAAATCAATATATGTTGTACGTTAAATATACTATTAATTAAATAGATTATATTATATATTATATATATAAATATATATATATTTATATATTCTTAGGACATTCAATGAACGATATGACGTATGATATTATTCCAATGTAATCAAACAAACGAATAAATTTAAATAACGTCTACTTTTCGAATAATCATAATATAATATTGCGTAATATATAGCCATTGTATCATATTATACAATACAATATTTATATTTCTGAAGGACGATATTTTTTTCCTGTATGTTGGTTTAAGTAGATAGTGCGTGCGTTTTGATTTGATATTATTATGATTTTATTTCGTTATTTTGCCGGTATTATTATTTATGTAAATAGGCCAGTTTATATCTATTTGATGTATAAAACAGTACTGATAACTGATAACTGATATATTATATACATATAAATATATATTATATTATACTATAACATTATACAGAGATAAAATTAATCAAATATGGCTACTTCTCAAAGGCTGTGTTACATCAGAACAATACTATCGAAACCCCTGAATTATCCTGAAGTTTCTGTTTATAGTGATAATATTTGATAAAATATTATTATAATAATTCCTCTTTTACTTGTACGTAAGACTGATTTTTTGGGTTTTCATTAGCTATAAAAATCATAGGCATATTAACTGACCTGTTTAGTTAATATGTCTATAAATTATGATAARAACTGTGGTCAATGTATAAACGATATATATGAATAATCTTCTACATTATTACTTTAACGATATATGCATTCACTATTTCAAGTTAATATCGTAATGAAAAATATTTTCACTATGCAGGTGGTTTAATGAGAAAATCTTCTGTTGTTATCGATCATCTGAATAAATGTGGTGAAAAATTATTATTAGATTTCGGTACCTACTATTAAAAAGATAATATATTATGTCTGTTAAACAAGGGTAATTTATATTATATTCATTGAGTGTATTTGGTATATTATACTTTAAGTTTTAACTTATTATAATTCTGCTTAAGTATATACATAATATATACATTAGCAATATACTATGTAAATATAAGTCCATTARTAATATAAGGTTAGATTAAGGAGAGAGAATCCGTCGAGGTAAATTTCAATCCAGAGAGATTCTGAAATATGAAGAAAATTAATTTATATTATAATCCCGAGTATATGATAAAATATCAAGTAGATTATCATTTATCGTAAAAAGTCAAATAAGAAGGTAAATTACATACAACTAGGTAATTTTTATTCATACAAATATAAGTAATTTATAATGAGAGAGAGAGAGAGAGAAAGAATAATTTATATTATTGTAATAAACATAGTAGAACATTCAGATACATTATTTAGTATATTATATTATATTATATTATATTATATTATATTATATTATATTATATCATATTCCATTATATATTTTATTATATACTATTTATACATTATATTTACAGTTATATGTCTTAAATTAGGTACATTTTTTTTTTAGAATTGGTAGCATATTATTAAATGATTTAAACAAAAGAATCAAAAATAAATTTAAATTTTTTTACTTTTTATTTTATTTGTGGTGGTAATCAGAATCGCTTTGGAGTGCACTTTATCGGATTTACTTAATATTCAAAATATTCTAATGAAGCATTTCAATAAGATTTATTACAAATAAATCAGTTTTGTGATTTGCTTACCATGAAAATACTTTTTATAGCGATAGTTGACTCGCTGACGGATTCCTCTTTCTTATATTGTTTATAGAGAGTTGATTAATCCATGATATTTTGTCTCTAAATAAAATACGCGATTAAATTTATATACATATTCATTAATATCTTAAAACGTATCTACACTTACATATAACCATATTATTTGAACCAATATGTTTCTTAAAATATTTAATATTATGTTAATGATATAATAATAGTTTAAAAATTACCTAGTTTAGATGATTAAAAATTATTGGTTTTGTCAAACATTTA